CGGATGCAACTGTGCCTTCCATTTCATACTGCAGATCCTAAATCTACAGCAGTGCCTAGGCACATTCCCATACCAGGAAGCTTACTTCTCCCCTGTTACAGAGCAGCTGGCTATTTACACAGTAAAATGGCGGAGAGATTAGGCAGGTGAGCCAGGGGGGAAAAAAGGATCGGCTGCCCTAGTACACGAATATTTGCATAACTCCTTCCAAAAGCCAGACCGCTGCTTAGTGTTCTTCTGGCCCCACCTACTAGCCATGATGTGCCTGTATTGTATTGCAAAAAGAAGCACAGGGACCCAGTGAAGTATAGTGGGTGACCAGGGAAGCAAAAATATAACCAGAATAAACTTCAGCTTTTACTTTCTAATCTGCAACATTGGTGAAGTATGAAGAAGTTGGAACTTGCTGTGTTGCATTGCCAAAGAAGTTTAAACCAGAGGATTAGCTTGATGGTTTCATTAGTAGTTTTTTCATTCAGCAGAGATAGTCTATGTATTTTTTAAGTTTGGGTACCGATTTTTACTCCTCAATGCATGAAGCTGTGCACACTAGATTCTTGTCTCTAGTGGAAAAGAGGCTTGACATGCAACCACCTGTCTGCTGACAGCTTTATTAGATATGTTAGCGGCACTTCATGGCTGCCATTTAACTCCTTTCTGCCCACCCCCAGGCATCCCTTTAAATTCTGAATTCCCAGGGCTGGGAAGGATCAGCAGTCGTTTGACCAGTGTGATTGGCTGTCACAGTGGTCACATGATCTGGAGCTGGCCCTGCCAGCAACCGATTGTTAGTCCAGACAGAGCTGTCTTTGACTGCTTGGTCTCTATACTGGGAGTGCACTCTCAGCACAAACACAGCACTGCCAATCAATGCATGTGTGGTGCGTTGGCTGGAGAGCCCACCCTTTTGCCACCACACGGTATATTGGTAGCAGCAGGTTAATAATCATGAAGTTAGGAGCTGTCAAAATTACTTTGCTCATAATTTTCCTTTTACTTTGCATCAGGCAGTATCTGACATTTTACTTCAAGATGTGAAAATTATGAGGCTTTCATTCTCATGCCTGCTGGAAAAGTATTGCACGTCGGGTGTTTTAGACCAGTGTTTGGCAACCTTTATTTTCAGTCATCGCACCTTTTTAGAATTGTGCACAATCCGAGGGCACTCCAGTCTGAGGGCTCGTTCACACCAGGAGGTGCGCCTGAGCACGTTATTTTTTTACGTGTTGTCGATCATTGCACATTTTTCCAGTGTTCCGTGATTTTAAATTATAACTTCTGTCCCTCCAAATTCCCCCCTTCTAGCACAAATCCCCCCTCCTATCAAAACCTTCCCTGCTCCCAAAGACCCACTCCTAGTACACACCCTGCTCCAAACACCCCCCCCCCCCCCACACACACCCCTCATTCCCTCTCCTAGCAAAAAACCCTCACCACATCTCTCCTCCAAGCACCCCCTCCCAGTTAAATTCCCCCTCTTAGCACAATCCCCACTCCTAGTACACTGTGCCCTGCCCCCCATCCCCTCTCATAGCAGAAATCCCTCCTCCAAGCACACACCCCCATCCCCCAGTTCCTTCTCCTAGCACAATCCCCACTGTTCCCAAATCCCCACTCCTAGTACACTGTGCCCTGCCCCCCATCCCCTCTCCTAGCAGAAATCCCTCCTCCAAGCACACACCCCCCATCCCCCAGTTCCTTCTCCTAGCACAATCCCCACTGTTCCCAAATCCCCACTCCTAGTACACTGTGCCCTGCCCCCCATCCCCTCTCCTAGCAGAAATCCCTCCTCCAAGCACACACCCCCATCCCCCAGTTCCTTCTCCTAGCACAAATCCCCATTCCTAGCACAACCCCCACCCTTCTCCTCCTCTAGGATGGAGGACTGGCCATACACAAATGGAAAAAAATTCCAGATTCTTGCATGTGTGGATGGCAGGGACATAGGGTGCGTTTTTAAAATGACTGCGTAGTTGTATGACAGTTTGTTAGATACGATTGCATGCAGCGTGGGCAGAGTACAACTTAAGCCCATGGTCCTCCTGTTTCAGAATTATATAAATGCATTTTTTTCTTGGTTTTCGGCTGTTTCACAGTAGAGTAGTGTATTGAATTGCCAATGAGCTGCAAACATATCTTGTTTACTTTCCAGTCCACCCACTCATTGCTCCTGACTCCAAGCACAGACACCCCCCATCCCCTGTTCCTTCTCCTAGCCCAATATTCCCATTCCTAGCACAACCCCACCCTTCATCCTCCTCTAGGGGATGGAGGACTGGCCATCCACACAGAAAAAATTTCCAATTCCTTGCATGTGTGGATGGCCCCCATAGCGGGTCCTGCGCACCCCTGCGTAGTTGTATGACATGCAGCGTGGGCCAGAGTACCTAACTTAAGCAAGGTTTTCCTCCTGTTTCAGAATTACTATAAAATTTTTTTTTTCTTGGGTTTTCGGCTGTTTTCAGTATGTGTATTGACACCAATGTGCTGCGAAACAAGATCTTCCTCCCCCTCGCTCCCCCTGTTACTTTCCGATGTCACACTCCATCATTGCTTCCTGACTGCAATCTTTCCTAAATAGTGTATGTGATCCAGCTTGCTCTGCGCACGGAGGCCTGTCTGGCCACAGATTACAAGCAGAGAGAATTTATAAGAAGTTGTTTTCAGAAATATTCTCTAGGCCTACTTATATCCAACAGTATTATCTTATTCTTTCTTTGCTAATATCGGTTGAGTGAAAACTTCAAGCTATAGGCAATGTTGAAAGAAAACCGCTACTTTCGTTTTTTAGACTCTTGGTTTAAAGCATATCTTCAGGCAAACACTTACTCCTCTTCCTATCATCCCTTTAAATGATTGCTTGTATGACACAAAAAACCTTAAATGCCCCTTTAACTTCCTCTTTAAGTACTATTTCCCTGCTCCCCATGAGGAATTGGCACCTTCTTTGGGGAGTGGGGGGTGGGTGCGGGGTACCCAATTTTGACAGGTAATTGCTCCCACTTCTGCTGCAATCGCCTAGGCGACCGAAAGAGGATGTTGTCCTCTCTCCCTTTAGTCTTGTAGGACACATGACAGGTCCCAGAAGCCTACAAGACCATTCACAAGGCTACTCTCGCATGCGCAGTGGGCACCCAGCTGCGAAGCCGCAAGCTGTCAAAGTAAAATGCCATTGCTGCGTTGTGCAGGCATGGTGCACTGAAAAAAAGCACTGCTTGCACTACTATTTGCAGCACAGTGCGAGGTACTGCCTTGCACCATGTGGCAGCCAGGGAAATTTTATGAAATGTCTGTGGTAAAGTTTGCTTGGGGAAAAAAAGGGAACAGTGTAGTGATCCTGCTGGACCGAACTGCACACCAGCTGCTGCGTTACATCACTATTCACTATAAATCTGGTCTCCCACAGTACAAAGAACATGGAATTATTTTAGTAAATATAAACTGCTAAATACCTTTTCCCACCAGCAGTTAGAGCAGTATTGTGACATCTATCAGCAGAGCACTGGTTAACGCTTGTAGGAGTTTTCATTCTCCTCTTAGGCTGCAGGACCCTTGACCCTCTGTCTGGACAGTGTTGATTGGCCCTGTGCTGATCACATGCACTCTCTCAAGAAAAAAAAAAAAACTCTAGCCATACACACCAAACTGAGCATGTGCAGCTTGTCCCCAAACCTCTGTTCTATCAGGAGATATATTGGGGACTGCGGATGAAGGGTAGTATCAGAGAAGACATGATCAAACATCCTTTTTACACAATGTGGAGGATTAACTCCTTAGTTTCTACAATGAGTATAAAAAGCATGCTTATTGCATATACAGACTAATTTTACTGTTGTGGGTTTAGTAACACTTTAAGGTTATTAGCAACTGTTTACTGGAGTGTTTCACCACTCACCTTTTGCATTAAGAGATTTAGACGTCATGCACTAGGACAGTGAGAGGCTGAAAATAAATTGGGCGTAAAAGTCCTTGTGGTTCCCTGCTCCCTAGTTGCAGTATCGTGTACAGCCTTCCGTACAAGTGAAGGCTGTATGCAGCCATACTCGTATAAACGCCAATACACAGCAGCACAGGAAATTTTACACATGCTGCATAATTTCATCCTTTTTTAGTGTTTTGTAGAAGGCCTTAGAATAGTATCCACTTTATTAATTTTTTTTTTTTTTGACCATCACCTTGAAGCTTTTTTTTTTTTTTTGTATCATGCTTGTAGATTAGCGGATCTACTAGATCTGCCACTTTTTGTCTCCTCCTGCCCTGCAATAAGGTAACTGTAGCTTTTAAAGTGATTGTAAACTTCAATTGAAAAAAACAAAACTAAAAAAAAAACCTACAGCCTTTAGAACCACAGTAAAAAAAAAAAAAAAAAAAAAAATCTGTAAGGAAAATTGGGCAACCGTGATCTGCCTTGTGAAAAGTAAATGCGTGTGAATAACAGGAGAGTAAAGCTTCAGTTTATGGCCTTTTGCGCAATGTGCATTCAATTGTTGCTGCAACACCACATGTGTCCTCAATAAAGAGTGCTTAACTAGCAAAAGTAAGATATGAATATTATGTAAGAAACAGATGTCTTGATTTTTGACCACTGAACATGTCAGGTTCTTTCACATATTGTAAGCCATTTAGTGGACAACAAACAGGGGTTTATTTACTAAAGCTGGTTCACTCAGAACCTTGTGCATGATGGCCAATCGGCTTCTAACCTCAGCTTGTTCCGTTAAGCTTAACCCCCCGGTCACATCAAGCTTGACTTTGAAATCATGCGACTTACAGTGAAGTCACATGATTTCAAATTCGGGTGAGATTCCGATTTCAGGTGCAATTTGCAAGACATCTCACACAGATGTCTATGCAAATCACACAAAAAGTAGTACATGTACTACTTTAGAAATCAGTGCTGCTCTGACCAAGTCTGAACCGCACCGTTTTGACCGCTCTAATTGCAGACAATAGGGTGCGACTTGGCATACGATTTGCAAGTCGAATGGCATGCAAATCGCATGCCAAGCCACACCCGATGTGATGTTCACAAGCTGGTAATTGCAATATTCGGCCATACTTGTAGATGGTTATTGCTTAAGTGTTTTAAAATATCTACACTCTCTCTAAAATGTTATTTTGTTTTAGACCCGAATGAAAAGCCAAAACCAAACACAGATGAATTGCAAATTAAAAAAGTTAAGAAGAAAAAGAAGAAGAAACACAAGGAAGGGGATAAACATAAACAGCCGAAGATGTACAGCAAATCAATCCAGACAGTCTGCTCAGGCCTGGTCTATGACATGGGAAGATACGACAACCCAGAAGCCAAAGTAGAAGTTGATGATTGTTTGAAGGACTTGGATGTGAAGGTTGAGGACAAGAAGGTTGCTCCAGAGAATGAATCTCCTTTTGTGTCTCTGAAGGAGCCTCGCGATCAGCACAAGCCCAAGCGGTTGGACTCTTTGGAGTTTAAGCACCTCATTCACATAGAACATCAGCCCAATGGTGGAGCATCTTTAATACATGCTTACAGCAGTGAACTCTCTCACCTGTCTCCCATGGAGATGGAAAGGTTTGCTGAAGAATTTGTTAGTCTAGCCTTTAGTGAAAATGAAAACTGCGCAGCTTATTATGTCATGGGGATTGTGCATGGGGCGGCCACATATTTACCTGACTTTTTGGATTATTTTTCCTTTAAATTTCCCAACTCCCCAGTCAAAATGGAGATCTTGGGGAAAAAAGACATCGAGACCACAACTATTTCCAACTTCCACGCTCAGGTAAGAGGAAGGGGCTGATTTATTTGCTGCTTATATATTCCTTCATATATTTATTGTTTAATGAAGATATTGTTGAAAAATTAAAGCTGGTTGCTTTTTAAGAGGTTCTGGTCTCAGGTTCTAAAATATGAAATTGTCAAAGTTGACTCAACATATATGTTGAAATTGTAATGTTCATGTTGAATGAGTTTTATGTTTACAAAAATGTGCTGGTTAAGAGATCATTCAGAAGAAAAAAAAATAAAATGTATTTAGCCTAAGTTTTAAGTTTACATTTGTGGCAGACCTTATCACCCTTGATCTGCTGGCCGTACACTGCTCAGATTTCGTTCAGTTCCCCCTGGCTCAGCTGATCTTTACACAGTGTATGGCCCTGGCACCACTCCTTTTCAGTAAATTGTTCAATCGACTTTTGCGAGTGGAGTTTATCAGAAAACTGTCAAGTAAACATCAGCTGAATCTGATCAGAGAAACCGCCCCCCCAATTGGTTGTTGGTTGGGACATGTAACTTTTCAGTTATTGTATTGGCTAGATAACATGTTAAGTTTGTTTGCTGCACATAATTAAATTTTGTTTGTGATGAAGCATGAATTTTGTTTTTTACCAATTATGAGGAAGAAATTGGGTTAGCAGTTTGCATCTTGAAGTAAATAAGACAAAACATTTGTTTTTCCATTCATCCCACTGGGTTGAACGAAAAAACAAACAAAGAAGCTTTTTGTGTGCACCCTGTATAAGTGTTTTTACTGCCAGCACCTGAATCGATCCCTGGTGGAATTTTATGGAGTATATTCTGCCTTCTGCAATCTGGTATGGAGAGAAAGGGGTGTAGGACAGTGATTGAGTCCTCTCCCCTGTGTTGCACTCTGTCCTTTGATGTGCCTCCATCAGATGAGACCTGCTACAGCAGCATTTGTCCCCCTTCCACTACATTCTTCATGGGACACTGAAAGTGCAATTGCGGCTCACCCTGAACTGCAACATACGGTGAGTAACCAGACTGTTCCACTGCACCATCTGCATCCTCCATGGTCCAGACATCCCTCATGGAGTTGCCTAACCCTTCAACCCACAGCAGCCTCAAACCGCCGAGCAACCTGCAGTTCAGAGAATCCAGTGTCGCAGGTTGCACCCCAAACATCCTTAACAATTAAAACACCATTGCAATAAGGTACACCCCAAAGAGACCCTCCCCAATCCCAGTCTTTCAGCTCCCTCCTTCATCCCACTCAGCCCTCTGTCCCACCCCTAATGAGGGTTACACAAACAGGCTGCCAAGGGGTATTAAAACAAAAAAGGTTGGATCTGTAGAAACACTGATGCTAACACAATATTACTTTTCAGTAATGACCATCCTTAAAATGAGATTCCAGGAGGATAGGAACTTATGATGATCTGATGAGCAACATGTTTTTGTCATGTGTGTGGCCAGTCCGGTGCTAATGCGGGTTTCTGTATTTGGACCACTAATGAAATAATCTGGGTTATTAAAAAAAAAAAAAAAAATCAGCATATGACCTTTGTAAATACACCATTGACCATTCCTTTATAAAGTCTTCTGGTTTTGCATGCTTTACACAAACCGTGAAATGTGAAAGGGATATTGTTAGGTTTGTTTTTATTGCCATGTCTTTGCACACACAACTGTGTAAAACCTATAGTAAATGTAGAACATTTATCTGAATCGTACAGTACAAGACACAAACTGGATAATTGTAGATCAGGGCTTCTCAGCCAGGGTTCCAAGGAACACTAGGGTGCCTCCAGAGGTTGCTAGGGGTTCCATGAGCAATTTTGACCCCTCAGATAAGTTCCAACTGCACCGTTTGATCCTTTTAGCTATATGTAAGGGGGTAATTCGTTCCAATGACCACAAGTGTAAGGAGCATTTTTTTTTTCCACTGACCATCACAATAATGTATCAGGAGTTGCAGATATAGTAATTTTTAGCAGGGATTCCCTGAGACCAGAAAGCTATTTCATTATAGGTTTGTACCTTCCAGTGATTGGACACTGGCAAGACTTTGCTGGACATACCCACCTATAACTCTACCCTGATTAAGAGCTCTCCTTTTTTTTTTTTTTTTTAATAGGGACCCAGCATCCAATTATAGCTCTATCTCAGGCATGCAACAAGCGGCCTACCTGACCAGAGGCAGTTTTTTCTATAACCATGTCCGACTTTCTCGGACTACAAACAGCTTTAACACAGCCATCTCTGTCTAGAGCACAAAAGTAAAAGGCCTCCTCTGGAGGACGCAGTCAAAAAATGTTTTGAAAGAAAAATATTGGTGTTCATGTATAGAGAAAATTCCTATATCATCCCTATAAACTGTGTGTGGAAAAATGTATATTAGGGAGATAGATGGTAATTTCCAGAGCCTGGGGAATCTGCTTCCATTAACAGTAATTTAAAGAGGCTACAGGTTATTCAACATTATTCATAACAGCCCATACCAAGAGTAAGCGTTTCTCCTAACTGGTAGGTACAGAAAGCAC